AAATATTATGTGAATTATAATTTTAACATCACAGTAAAAAAGTGGTCGTGATTAAAATCAATCAGATATGGACTACACTTATGTAACAATACGAATTTATTATAAATTTTATACTCTAACAAATATACAAGCAAAAAAGGATTTAAATGAATTATATTGAATGAATTCCTTTGATTAAAGCCGTAACTGATGCTATCGGCGTATTTGGCTGAATACCATGTCCCAAATTCGCAATATATCGAGTTTTACCAAACATCATTGCCATATTTCGAGAACGATCAATTATTTCTTGCTATATAAAAATAAATATTGATTAGTTTAATAACAAATATTTATTAGAAGTGAAAAAATGATATAATGATCACTTTATGTTATGTATACTAATTCCTTAGTATAATAATACAGACCTCAGAAGCATATAATGCACATGGATCTAAATTTCCTTGCAAAACAATATCAGAACCAAATCTTTTCCTTGCTTCTATAGGGTCAACAGTCCAATCTAAACCTAATACTTCATAGGTTTTTGATTTTGCTAATATTTCTAAAGAATTCATTGTTGCACCTTTAGGAAAAGCAATCTAAAATTTGTCAGTTTTTAACCACTTTAAAGAACAATATAATACAATAAACATATTACAATATTAATTTTACTTACCATTGGTACTTCTGGAATATTTTCTTCTTTTAATCGCTGCCTAACTTTTTCACTAATTTCTTTCAAATATTTAAATGAATAATTTTCAAATAACTCATCATTTAAAAAATCACTATGACTTTCAAATACTTGTAGTAGCTGTAAAAGGAAGTAGAAATATAATATATTAATTTGTTATTTTCTTTTTATATTGACTTATAATTTTTCCTACTTCTTTATATACATTTGTTTGACATTTTAAAATTGACCAAGAAATATAATGTTATACCTGTGCTCCAGCTTTTACTTGCATTACAAGATAGTCTATTATAACATTTGTAATCAATTGTAAAAGTTTGTGAGAATCTTCTGGATATTTGTATAGCCACTCTCGTGCCTTTGTCATTGTTGAACTACCCCCACCTTGGATCATGTAGCTCATTAGTGTCCACTAATAATGTACAAATATGAATACTACTAAAAATATTTTATGAAATATCTGTTTTATAACATAAATGTTTTATAATGACACATTTTCTAACAATCAATACATATATTTAAGAACTGTTCTACTCACTGCAGCACCGGTAAAGCCAATTAATGGTACTTTCCCTTCTAATTTATGCCGTGTTAAAGTTATAGCATCCCCTACATATTTTAAATCCTTTTCTACATTTGGTTGAACTAATCTAACTAAATCTGTTGGATCTTTTATAGGCTGAGGTAAAACTGGTCCCTAACAGTTAAAAGAAAAATGTTATACATATATTTCTTTTACTTTTATAATATTTTTCAAGTCTTTGATTTCTAAAATGCTAAATAATATATGCTAGGAAAAATTTTGTCAATAAAAAATTACAACAAATTTTTTTAACACAAAGATACGTTAAAACTTATAATTTAAGAGAATTTAACATACTGTTCCAGGAACCATTTCAACAGTTAAACCCATAGCTTGTGGAATGACTAAAATATCAGAAAATATAATGCTAGCATCCAGGTCAAATCGCTTTATAGGTTGTAAAGTTACTTCAGAAGCCAAGGCTGGAGTTTGACAAACAGAAAAAAAATCATGTTTTGATCTGATTTCTTGAAATTCTGGAAGATATCTTCCAGCTTGACGCATTATCCAAATTGGAATACGTTCTACAGGCTCTCCTTTAGCAGCTTTCAAAATAAAATCATTTTTCAATGGTGGAAATTCTGTTTGTTCCATTATTAATATCTGGAAAATATATTAATATTTAAAACTAATTAATGTTCACATAATTAATATTTACACAGTTACAATTAAATGTTACAAAAATATACAGTTGAAAGGAAAAATAACATAAAATTCAAAACATAAAACTAATGAGACCATATAATTTTATACAATTTTTGTAGTACTTCGAGTATTACTACAAAATCGTTTATCATTATGCACTTACCGTAGGAGAGTATAAAAACTCTATAAGAACAAGTTTAAACAGCGTTACTTATTTAAATTTGTATATGTTTGATTACAAAGCAATTTTTTTGAATGTTATTTTTAACCTATAAAAATATTTATATTCAAACCGTTCATGTAATAAATTCTTTCTTAAATATTTTTTTCTGTTTTATTTAAATATATCATAAAGAGTATGAATATATTTCGCTATGAATTGCACTTTTGCCATATAGTACGCGACGATTAAAGATACTGGATGAAATTTTTAGTTGTAATTTTCTAGTCTATTAGTCTATATTTTATGGTTAATTTAATCAATCAGTTTTATTAAAATTTCTTGTCAATGATTTTAACTTCCATAATTTTTATCATTATATTTAAAATTAAAAATTACATATAGGTATTGATCTTTCTTTCAAAATTGCAGAAGTTAATGAAAATAAAAAATAGCAGATACATTTTCTTATAATTCACTAGATCATACTTTATGACTGTAACCAATTACTGTCATTGAAAATATTTGAATAGAATAAACGTGGCGCGCATTGCAGTAGCTGAAAAATTTGTTCTTTGAGTTGATTTACTTTCTCGGTTAAACTTTTAGGAAATAGTTGTTAATAAAAACGTT